AGTACACTTCCCACAGTCTCCAGGCCAAATAATTGAAAAGTATTTATGTCCTAACAACTTAGTAGCCTTTTGCGGGGGGGGGGGGAGAATATGCAGAAATGGGCAGAAACATTTTTATCTCACTCTGAAATAACCAAAATTACTTACTAATGGAATGTATGAGGCTATTGGGCTCGGCACAAATTCTCAGACCATGGAATCAGATTGGACACCGTCACCCTCCTTTCTTTTTTCACACGGATTTTCACTTGATTTTTTTAAAAAAAGATTTTATTTATTTATTTGACAAAGATCACAAGTAGGCAGAGACAGAGCTGGGGAAGCAGGCTCCCTGATGAGCAGAGAGCCCGATGCGGAACTCGATTCCAGGAACCCAAGATCATGACCTGAGCCAAAGGCAGAGGCTTAACCCACTGAGCCGCCCAGGCACCCCATACACAGTACTTGATTTTAATCACAGATCACTAAAAACCTAACTTTAAAAAGACATGCCATCATCAGAAAGAATGTGACCTAACGTGTAAGCGTGAACTACTCCAAGTTAGCAGTTTAAGCGGTGTAGGACAGATGTCACTGTGTTTCCCTTGAAAACTGAAAATATCCCATGGTGTCCCTGGGAGCTTAATGCAGTTCCTCGGGGGTGCCTTGACGCAGTCTGGGAATGACAGACATAAACTACTTCTATGACCCCCCCCCCAAAAGATGCCTATCCAGCATCCCTCTCTCTATTCTTACTACCAGCATTTTCATTTTCCTTTATAGGTCTATCTGGATCTCCCTCATTCTTCTTTCATATGGTTTGTGTGGGACTCCTGTGGGAATTACCAAGGAAAAGTCGCTCTGTTTTAGTCAGATTTGCTGAGTTGGGAGATGTCAGCCTGGGGTGGCCAGTGCACCTCTTTGCCACAACATGAGAGACTGCCTGAGAATAAGGCTGATACAGAAGATACAGAGAGGGGGTGCCTGGGTGGCTATTTGGTTATGCATCCAACCCTTTGTTTCGGTTAGGGTCACGATCTCAGGGTTGTGGGATCGAGCCCCACCTCGGGCTGTGCCCTCAGTATGGAGTCTGCTTGTCCCTCTTCCTCTGTTCCTCCCCACACTTGCGAATGCACACGCATCTCTCTCTAAAATAAATAAATAAATAAAATCTAAAAAAAAAAAGAAGAAGAAGAAGAAGAAACAGAGAGACACACACACAGAGACATCATTGGAGCCCCTGGACCTAGCCTGGCCTGAAGCCATTTGTCACTGGACTTCCCAATATATGAGCCAATAAATTCCTTTTTTGGCTTAAAGCCAGCTGAACGGGGTTTCTGTCACTTGCAACTAAGAATCCTGACTAATGTATCATACATATGCATCTATATAAATATATATATCTATAGTTCAGTGCTTTACTACATATACATTATATATATAGAGAGAGTATATATAAAGTAGGGCATGAATGAAATGAGACCCCACAAGTTCAGAAGCTTCTTTGTAGTGCCAAGGGTCTCAAGATACTTTGGGAGCCCACAGTGTTAGGAAACCCCCAAATATCTGACATACACAGCAGACCTGGGTTCAAATTCCAAAATTCCATGACTTTCAAGTTAGTTAATATCTCTTAGCCTCAGTCTAAAGCAGGGTTGGTCATTTAGATTAAATGGAAGAATCCATGTACCCTACAGTTAGCTCTTACCATTATTATTGTCAGTCTTTGTTTTGTAGATAAAGAAACTCAGAAGCTCAGAGTGATGGCTTGCTGAAGGTCAGATACTAGACAGGCACAGGCCTCAGGCCTAAACCCAGGAACTGTGACTCCCTGTCCAGGGGCTTTCTGCACAAAGCACTTCTAAAGAAAGAATCCCGTAAGGCAATGCAAGATGGAAGAGAAAAGCCTACAAAAGTGTGCCCAGGGCACAGACCTGCTTTAAGCAGTGGTTAAGAGTATAGACCCTGACATTCAACAGCCTGGGTTTGAATCCTAACTCCAGTACTTACAAGACATGTGACTTTGGGTATATGATTTTCCCTCTGTAAAATGGGATAACAGGATCTCTTTCATAAGGTTTTCATAAAATAATACTGACCTTCTTGCTTCTACCCTGTCCCTCTCATGTCTACTGTATACACAGCAGCCAGAGAGATGCCCGTTTCATTGGCAGAAAAAGCCAAAATCTTTACAGTGGCCTACCAGGTCCCTGCATTTCTGTAAGGTCAGATTTAGGGAACAGCCTCTTCGGGCCACCTCCTTCCTGGATGGGGAGGGATGGGGTCAAGTTTCCAGTGATGCAAATCAGGAAATGCTTATTAAATCACCTGCCACAGTGTCTGTAAGTGACCTTCTGTGGTCACACCACAAGCCACAGGGCCAAACATGTGCTGGTCTCAGACTGATGCTCAATTCACCAGCATGGATGAAACCCCAGCCAGCCAAAACCAAAGTTCCCATAGCCACTTGACCTTGCCCCTGAGTCTAGTGAGGCCCTGGCAGGTATAAATCAGTCAAAAGAGAACAGATCCTTTCCTCTAGAAAGTCCCAGAGAGTATGACTTTTGAGGTGAGGGGATTCCAAAGACATTTTGAATCCTCTGTGGTCTGATAATTAGGTTTCCTCTTTCCTCTATTCATTTGAAAAAGGGAAGAAGAGGTGAAACACAGACATCAGCTATGACCCCAAGAAAGAATCAGAGAGATACAAACATGAAACCCACAAATCCCAGATTCAGAGGCAGATAGAGGAAAATTAAGATACACAGGAATTTTCTGGTAAAAAAAAAAATTAATCCTTCCTTTTAGTTCCAATTTGTTCACCTGCCTACCTGTTGTGACCTCCTTGCTCCCCAATAAATGTCTCATATCTGAAAGTCTGTCCAACACATACCCAATGACAACGTATACCCTACTTATTATACACATATCCCAGAAACTTTCATCTCAGGAGTTCAAAGCTCTCATATTTATTATGGAAGTGAGAAGAGAGAGTGGGACCTACCAGCACAATGACAGACATCCAAAATAAGCATTCAGACTACTAAGTTCTAATGGCAGCTTTACCTCTCAAGAGCTGTGTGACCCCAGTTGAGTGAATTAGATTCTCAAGTTTTAGTTTCCTCATCTATGAAGATACAGACAATGTCTATGACCTTGACACACGGGGGACTCTGTGGCCTTCCATCCATCACTGTCCTCTGACCCAGGAGTTGTCCACTAAACCCTGAGGCCAGCAGAGTCCCTCCTCCCCATAGGCCCAGTCCATTCCAGTTCCCCTACTGCTGAAGAACTGAGTAACGGACGCCTCAGTTTCTCCACAGTCAGCTGTCCTCCAGCCCTCGCTGTGCACCAGGAGACAAAACCCAGAATTCCCAATTCCTCTCTGTCTCTCACATACCTGAACCAAGTAAGAACACAACAACAAATCCAATGTCTCCTTTGCGAGCTCTGCCTGCCAAGACTAGCTAGCTAATTGCTGTTGATTGCATTAATTGCATTGCTCTGAAGTGTTAAGACAACTCCTCCTCTTAGTGTAAGGCAGGGCAAGGGAAAGGAATTCAGGAACGAAAGCCCCACAAGGTAAAACTCTTCTCCCACTCCCGACCCTAACATCCCTTCATGGCTTCACAGCTGAATGTGACCCAAGAGCCCAGTAGGACAAAGTGTTAGGAAGCAGCTGAATCTTCTCGACGGGACTAGAGCCAGACGGGTCCCCTGAGAACTGGGTGGGCCCCAAGCCCCAGACGTGAAGGAGAGGGCACCAACCCACACATGCCGCACAGGCCAAGAAAGGCATATCGGTTCTGGATACTTTATTCTCTGCTCATGCCTAAAACAGACCCCTCGCCCCCATCTTCCTGCTCCGTCTCTGCAGCAACCCCCTCTTTAAACATCAGGGCCTACTGCCTCAGGTCCAGAAGACCCATCACAGACAATCTCCTCTCCCCTTCTCTGGACCCTGTAAAAGGACAGTCAACTGGAGATGAGAGCTACATGGACAAGGAAAATGTCATGGCTCCAGCCAGGGACAGGAAGAAGTGGGGCAGAGCTGTGCAGTATGGTTTCGGGCAAACAGAGCCCAACTTCAGAGAAAACAGGCACAATCTAGTAGCTTCAGAGGAAAAAGCCCCATCTCCAAAACCGGTCCAGGAGTCCCTCTTGGCCAACCCCAAGGTTTCATGTGTGAGATGTCTCTAGCCACCTGAGTCGGTAGCTGAGACCTGTGTGAACCTCCTTTCAGGGACAGCTTTTCCTGCCAGGACCCCACAGGGGCAATGCCATTTTCTCAAGAGGCCTCTCTTACATCTGCCCTCTCCCTACTCCGTATAAGGTTCTGGGCCAGATGGGTGAGAGCGGAGAGCAGCCTCTATCACGGAGGGAGGCAACGCAGCTGTCAGAAGTGACAGATGCCATCCACAACGCCAAACTCAGCCTGCAGTAGCAGCACAGAGGAGGGCACAGACACCAGAGTCCCAAAGACACATAACAGGGGTCTCTAATCCCCGAGCAAAGCCTAGGGGTTCAAGGTGAACGGCTCCCAAGCACATTTCTCAAAATGTAGTTGCAGAAGAGAGCGCTGCTCCACCAAAATACAGAAGTTGAGCGGCCAAAAGCAGGTGGACAGGGGTGCGGTTAGGAGAGACCCCCGCGGAGGTGGGGGCTGGGCTGTTCTGAGTCCCAGCACATATATGTCCCCTCAGGCCTCCCCCACATGACAAACCTGGAAGTTCCCCTCAGAGGCCACAGACCAACTTTCTGCAGAGAAGGAGATGCGCGGAGCAGAGTCGGTGCGAAGGCGGAGTAATGGGGAGCTTCCACCGGGCGCCCCAAGTGGATGAAGAACTGAAGTGCTGGGAGATAGGAGGGTGCTGGCCCACGCGGACCACCAGTCCCCAGTGCCCAGCCAGGGGCAGCCCTCTGGACCCTGATGGTCCCCACCGCCCCGGCTGGGTTGGCAGGAAGGGGAAGGCACCGCACCGCAGGTAGCAGAGTTGCGCGACCAGGTGGCCCGGCCCTACCTGCAATTCCTGAAATTCTCCCTCCAGCTCATGCCACTCGCGCTCGCAACGCTCCAGCTGGCCGGACATGGTGCGGCGGTGCGAGGCGGCGGCAGCGGCGGCGGCGTCAGCTCCCGCAGCGTGGCGCGGGCGGCCACCAGCACCGGAGCGCGTCCGCCCGCGGGCCGCCTTCGGAGGCACCAGCTGTTCCTGCGCAGCCGGAGCCACGCGCGCACCTGACGTCACAGCCCCCGCCCCAGCGGCCGCCCCACCCCCTCGCCGGGAGGCAGGGCCTCGCGCATGCGCACGCACCTCCCCAGCTCCGCCCCCGCGCGCCCGCGCGCCGGATGGGGGGACGCTGTAGTTTGGCGCGGCTTGGCGGGGTCTGTTGCCGCCCCCGTGAGAATTCTTCTGCGCTTCCAGTCTCTCCTAAGAGGCTGGGGAGCTTGTCCACAGGCTGCATTTGCAGAGCTTATCTTACTTAGATTGTGTTTATTTGGGATGTCTGGAGTCGTAAGGAAGATTCGGGGGAGGTAAAAGCTCACCACCCCTTGGCATTGCCTGACCAGAGTCGAAGCCAACGGCCGCGAATGCTAGAACTGACATTGACCATCCAGCAAGGTCGCCAGGCAGGGCGGGGAAGCTCAAAGAGGGACCCGTCGTCTCCCCTGTCATTACTTAACTGCAACCAAGACTCCTGGCCCCTAAGATTCTGCGTGACTCTCTTGACAGCTGTGTCTGTCGCTCATGCGACACCATTGCCTCATTTCCCCGCATGGACCTCCAAGATCTAACCCTGCCTAGCTTCGCAGTCACATCTCCTATCTCACTCCCCTGGATCAGCACTTCGCAGACACGGTTTCTTTTTCTCTTCTTACCCTTCAGGAGACATTCCCTCCAAATCTTATGGTTGCCTTTTCCTCATCATTCAATTCTTAGTTCCAACGACACCTGTGTTAATTTCCTGGGGCTGCTGGGGAACCTGCCTGGCTCAGTGGGTAGAGCGTGCAACTCTTGATCAGAGTCCTGAGTTCAAGCTCCCCACAGGACGCGGAGACTACTAAACAAAAAACAAAGGAAGAGGAGGGGGCAGGGGAGGGGGAAGGGGAGTAGGAAGAGAAGAAAAAATGCTAGGAGTGCCTTAACCACAAACTGAGTGGCTTAAACAATATAAGTGTATTCTGTCTCACAATTCTGGAGGCTAGGAGTGTGAAATCAAAGTGTCAGCAAACACAAGCTCCAAGCCTGGGTAAAATCTTTCCTTGCTTCTTCCTAGCTTGTGGTGGCCCTCAGTCCTTATCATTCCTTGGCATGCAGCTTCATCCCTCCAGTCTCTGCCTCTGTTGTTACATGGCCTTCTTCCCTGTGTGCTTGTCTCTGTGTCCTCTCCTCTTATAAGGACACCAATCTTACTGGATTTAAGGGTCCACCCACTCCAGCATGACTTCATCTAAGTTGAACTAATTACATCTGCAAAGACCCTGATTCTAAATAAGGACAACCTTCTGAGGTAATGGGTCGTAGAACTTCAACATATCTTTCTGGGGGACACGATTCAAATGGTAACAACACCTCTGAAAAAAAGACCTTTCCTGAATAGTCAGAGCTTCGTGCCTCCTCCCAGTCACTTATCTGTCACCTGTCTTATTTCCTTCATATAAGTTACCGTTGCTTGAAGTGTTTGTCTCCATATTGGTTGTGCGAATCCGTGGGTATAGAATCAGCATGAGATCTCAGGGATCTTGTCTCTGTCTTGGTCATCATTGTGTCCCCTGAGCTTGGCACATAGTAGGTTGTTAATATTTGTTGAAGGAATAAACATGAAAGACCATCTAGTGCAAAGGTTCTCAACTTTTGGGGTTCATAAACCACTCTAAAAACTCTGAATGGGGAATATACACATAAGCACACAGAGAAACATTCAGAAGTCTTTTTTTTTTTTTTTAAGAGTTTATTTATTTGACACAGAGAGAGAGATCACAAGTAGGCAGAGAGGCAGGCAGAGAAAGAGGGGGAAGCAGGCTCGCTGCCAAGCAGAGAGCCCGATTCAGGGCTCGATCCCAGGACCCTGAGACCATGACCTGAGCCAAAGGCAGAGGCTTTAACCCACTGAGCCACCCAGGCTCCCCGACATTCAGAAGTCTTAACTGGTGCCTGAAGAAAGCATGACTTACTCAAGATCCCCAGTTAATTAATGACCGACTTTGAATTATGATTGTCATCCCTGGAGGTTGGAACTTCAACATATCTTTGGGAGGGATGCCTAGGTAGCTTGGTCAGTTAAGCAGCTGGGTCGTGGTCCCAGGGTCCCCGGATGGAGCCCCATGTCCAGCTCACTGCTCAGCAGGTAGCCTGCTTTTCCCTCTCCCTCTGTTTGCCACTCTGCCAGCCTGTGCTCTCTCTCTCTGCAAATAAGTAAATAAAATCTTTAAAATATATATATATCTTTGGGAGATACAGTTCAACTCCTAACAATACCTTTCAATAAAAGTGAATTAAGGTGTGTTTTCATGCCTCATTATTGCAGATTGGATGCCAGGCATTGTGAATTTTACCTTGTTGATTGATTCCCTTCCTCTACCCCTTTTTCTTCTCTTCCTCCCGTCTTCCCTCCCTCTCCTTCTTTTGTATTTCAGTTTCCCTAAAAATATCCTTAAGCTTTACATTAGACGCAGTTACTTGGAAACAATTTTATCCTTTCCGATCTTGCTTTTAGCATTTATCTGGGACTAAAACAGGGCTCATTCGAGAGCTGATTTTTTCCCCACTACATGAGGCAAGGTCAGTACACCATGAAGTTTTCCAGTCTGGCTGTTGGGATGAGGCACTATTCCTGGACCAGTGTGAGGGCTATACACTCTTACTTCTAATCATTTTAGGTGGTTCCTTCCTTGGCCTCAGGTGGCTGTCCTTGCATACATGCATACCAGTGCTCCGCTGACTGCTGGAGGGGGTTTGGTGGGCCCCTGGAGTCTCTGTGTGCAGCTGTTTCTTCTTTACAATTCTAACTTCCTTGCACCCCCTGGGCTCTCAGCTCTATCGTCTCAACTCTGGGGGTCTCCCAGGCTTCACCTGGGATCCCCCTCCCTGCACCATCGCCTAGAAACTCTCAAGACAATAAGTGGGACAATGGTAGAGTAACTCCTACAATTTGTTTCCTGTTTCCCAGTGACCACATCCTCTGTTGACTGATGTCCAGTGTCTTGAATGAAAAACATAATGTCACGTGTTTTTCCCCATTTTGTGGTTGTTTCAGTTGAGAAGGTAAGTCTGGTCCATGTTACGGTATCTTGGCTAGAAGCAGAAGTCAGCATAATGCATTTGGGATCCGTGCGCATCAATAGTTCATTTCTTTTTTTCTTCTGCTGAGTATATCTCGTGTGATCAATTTGCTTCTCCATTCTTTATCCATTCACCGGTTGAGGGAACTTTGGGTTGTTTCCAATTTGAGCGGATTATGAATAAAGCCACTATAAACATTTATGTAAGTCTTTTAATTACAAAAAGGACAATTTCACATTAAAATCCAAACTTTCTTTTTTTTTCAGATTTACTTATTTATTTATTTGACAGAGAGAGATCACAAGTAGGCAGAGAGGCAGGCAGGGGGCGGGGGTTAGCAGGTTCCCTGCCAAGCAGAGAGCCCAATTCAGGGCTCGATCCCAGGACCCCGAGACCATGACCTGAGCTGAAGGCAGCGGCTTAACCCACTGAGCCACCCAGGCGCCCCTCATTTTTTTTTTTTTAAGTAATCTCTACACCCAACTTGGGGCTTGAACTTCACAACCCCATGATCAAGAGTTGCAGGCTCGGGTTGCCTGGGTGGCTCAGTCAGTAAGCGTCTGCCTTTGGCTCAGGTCATGATCCCAGGGTCCTGGGATCGAGCCCCACATCGGGCTTCCTGCTCTGCAGGGAGCCTGCTTCTCCCTCTCCCTCTGCCTGCTGCTCCCCTTGCTTGTATGTGCACTCAATCTTTCTGTCAAATAAATAAATGAAAATCTTAAAAAAAAAAAAAAGAGTTGCAGGCTCTACTAGCTGAGCCAGCCAGGCGCACTTAAAATCCAAACTTCTACTGTCTTTTGAAAAATGGGAAGATCTGATCACACTAGGCTCACATCTCTCTCTGCATGGCAATGGGCTGGAACAGAGTAAAATGGGCTTGCCACTTGCCCCAGTCCCCACCATGCTCAACTGTCTTGCCCCAGACCACACTTCATGTATTTATGTAAACTGTAGTCCTTGGAGCCACCTGAATTTGAGACTCCTGATACAGTATGTCATGAAGATTACAAAACCAGATGGACCACTCATATGGTGAAAAAAACCAGAAGTGGGCTTACTTAATTGGGGTTAGTGGAATCAAAAAGGAAACACGGAGCCTTGAAGGATGAGTAAAGTGGCACCAGCGGAGGATTTGGGAAGATGTCCCTCCACCTTTGCGGGCAGCTATTCAGTCCAAGTCCATCTGCCCCAGGCTGCCTGTGTTGGGAGAAGCTGGGCCCGCCCCCCAGGGAGATCTGGGCAGGTGCACCTTATCTGCAGGCTGGCCAGCAGTCAGGCTGCAAATTTAAGGTACTGTTCTCCCTGTGGGATCAGGACTTGGTATGCATTATTCACCCTTTTGTAGATGGCAGGGGCTGGTCACCCCTATCTGCATAGCCGCTCGGGTGCCAGAAGTCTCAGTTCATACCTGGCTGCTGTCACCCTGTCCCGGTTCCTGCCCAAAGTGTGTTCAGACTCTGTTGTCAGCTCCCTGGGGCCGGATCTGGCTCTGCGTAAGAACTTTGATCACTCGGGGTGAGAAAGTATGTTATCCTCCTCACCCCCTGCCCATCCCACCAGGGGGAAATCTCCCCTATCTGTTCTCTTTAAGGCACTCTATTTAGGAACCTTGTAGCCTGAGACTTTGTACAACCAGCTGGGAAGAGTCATAAAAGTAGCAAACACATAGCGGTCACTATGTGCCTGGTGCTCTTCGTAGATACTTCATGTATACACATCCGTGCTCTAAGTCTTCAAGTGTCTTGAGGAAGGACCGCTATTCTCTGTTTGACAGGTGAATATATTTTTTTAAGATTTTTATTTATTTATTTGACAGACAGAGATCACAAGTAGGCAGAGAGGCAGGCAGAGAGAGAGGAAGGAAAGGAGGCTCCCTGCTGAGCAGAGAGCCCGATGTGGGGCTCGATCCCAGGACCCTGGGATCATGATCTGAGCTGAAGGCAGAGG